ACAGTCTTACTTTTAGTGAGTAATGAAGCTCAGAAAAATATCTACTAGTGGATAGAAAACCAGAGATACACATTAGTCTTGTTGGATTGTTAACTGTAATAGCCAGAGCCAGCTACGATATTTCTCGTCCACCACAGACTGAAGTTGTTGCAATTAATTTCTGACAACGGCTACCTCAACTATGGAATCAAAAAGATTGCATTCTGTTATACTTCTTTTAAAACAATATAAGGTTAACAATTCTTGATGTTTTAAGAAGTATAATAGAACCAGAACATTTCCCTTGAGGTAACCTCGGTCAGATATTTACAGAAACAACTATGGACTAGGGTGAAGTGGAAATATTTGATGCACGACGCGATTCGAGCCGCAATCTGACCCAGGGTTAAAATAATTCTCTTATTTAAAACATTAAATACTAGTTAAGGTCTGTTTATAATGGGTGGAGAGTGAAAAGATAATAATTCAGAGTGAGAGAAGGAGCCTAATAACCTTAACCTACGAATGAATACTTACCAGCGCAGTTCATCCCGCATTTCTTCTTTTTTCTATTTCTGGCCGGCACCATCGTAGAAAGATTCACTTGCGTTCACTTGTGACTTGAATAGGGTTGGCTTGCACCAAGCTTGCACTCAAAACTGTATGGCGTGATGACTTGGGCTGGCCGATGACTTGACACTTTTGCGAGCTGACAATGATATGGCGGAGGTTGGACGCGTTGGACGTTTACCCGCCAAATAAGTGCTGCCAATGTCAACTAACTGGCAGTGGAGCAGTGGGTCCTAGAGTCCTAGAGGGGAGAGAAACGCGAACTGGCTTGGCGTCGTCGAACGTAGAATTTTTCATGAGTGCGCACTGGTGCGCACTGAGGAGCAGGGGGGAGGGGCGGCGGGCGGCGGGGAGGGAAGGCGTGGGGAAGGTATGAGAATGTCTCCGACGCAATCTGAAGTTCGCGTTTCTCTCCGTGGGTCCCGGCTAGGACACCAGCGCATGCGCAGTAGTGCTTTTGTTATTTGTCCGTTTTCTGAAATCATCCACAGCAAGTGCTCAAGGTACAGTAAGATTTAAGGTTATATTCCTTTTATTTCCTTAGTTTTGTGAATACACTGAAAGCTCAGTAGCCATAAGTTTTAGCAAGAAGGTTCTCCTTATGACCAAATAGATTGAATAATTCAAACAGAGGGTGCATTTTCAAAAAGTATATTTTTCTGGAAGGCACATTTTGTTCATTCCACTCAGTAACGAATTTTCTGGTATTTTAAGGTGAGTTTATATAGGGAGTGGAGTAGGGTTTTACAGTACAGATAGTGCGTCCTGCAAAGTTTCACGCGTGTCCGGTGAGTAGAAATCGAAGTGATTTGTAGAATGGTTTACGTGTTGAAGGGGGGTGCGGTTCAGGATACAGTTGAATATCGAACTTTGACTAGATAAAAATGGCAAAGTAATTGAAAAAGTTTCCTTTCCCACTTTCTGATCAGAACCCAAAACTGTAATATAATTTCAAATTTTATAACTTTTAAGAAAAAATATTTTAAACTTTTTACAAATTTCAGTTCAAATATAGTGTTGTTACAGTACTAGGAGTTCTAGAAGTGCTAAGCATTCAAAAGAACTTGTCAAAAGAAGTAGAGAACAGACAACCTATTTTCTCAAAAGATATGAAGCTCCAAAGAACGGAACAATACTAGAATCATAATCGTAACTAATAGTAGGACAGGTTCCTATAAATCTGTACAAGACACAAAATTCTTGTATTATAAAAAGCTCTACCTGGATTCATATTACACACATTAAAATCTAAATAAACTGTTAAAGACACCGAACTTATATTATCAGATAACATACTCAACAAAAAGATTGAATAAATGAATCACTGAGACGCGTGATATTTGAATCTGATTAAGGATTGTTTCATAAAGTAGACTTCATGGATTTTATTTGAATGTTAATCTGTTACAAAAACCATTAACATTCCATTGTCTCTATCCATATAAATTTATTTGGGGTAGAGACGCATTAGTTTTCTGCCCCAAGAAATTAAATGGCTTATGTCGCAAGAGTGCCTGGGCACAACCAAGTAATATCGAATCAACAAGTATTCATATCTACACAGTGTGGGTCACCTGCAAGAAATCTGACTTAATTTGTTTCAACTTGTGATACATAACAGGTTATAGAAGATCTCAGCCTACTTTGTTCAAACATAGATGATCTGCTATTCTTTTGTTGTAGTCAACATGTTTGTTTACTGACAGTGAGGGGCTTGTGGTGAGTGTGGTGATAAGGAGAGGTATGAGGGGAGGAGGGGAGGGGGGGGAGGGGGGAGGTGGCAATGCACGAATCGTTCCACGGGAGTTCCGGGGCCAAAGCACCACCGCGCGCAACCGACATTGCAGGTGGCCCAGGGTGGTATGCGAGGCAATAGGTGAGTGTTCAGCAGCTACGCGAGTTAGACTCGACCCGCGGCCGCGCTCTCGCCCCGGCGGGCAGCGCCTCGGCGGGGCCCGCCAGAGCGGTGGCGCAGGCGCGCAAGTGCATCGGCCAGGACGGACGGGTGCATCAGCCACGGCCAACACGCCGCGGCCGCGCTCCCATCACGGGCAGTGCCTCGACGGGGCTCGCGTCTCTACCCCAAATAAATTTTTATGGATACACTGATAAACCAAGTTGTTAGACATGCAAACTTAAATTCTCGCGCTCACAAGGAGGAACTAGCGTCACGCCAGCGCCTGCTGGAATAAAGCCCTTGCGTCGCATTCGCGACTCAGGGAGCTGGCCGGGCGGCCACCACGGCACCCCGCGGGGGCCTGCTCGGGCCCGACACATCAGACCAGGCGCGGCGGAACGGGGGGGGGGGCAATGCGCCGAAGGCGCCCCGAGAGGGGCGCCGCCAGGCGCCCGCTGGCTTTCACCGAAAATTTGATTGCGAGGGCGCCGAAGGCGCCCTCGCTGCCGGGCCCTGGTGAACTGGCCTAGGCGCCGAAGGCGCCTTTTCGTTAACCGATGCCACGTCATAAAGTGCGCACACGGGACACATGAACTGCATTTCGGGGCGCTCGAACATGGGATGGGGGGGAGGGGGGCATTTCCCGGGGCCCCAGAGGCCCCGAGGGAGCGCTGTCAGGTTCGAGGGGGCGCCAGAAAGGCGTTCGCCGGCACCTACAATTGGCACACAGGAAACATTTACAAATTTCTAGGGGCGCAGTTGCGCGGTGGAACGTGGGGTCATAGGCTAGGGGGCGCCATCCGGCCCGGAGGGGGCGCCGACATGCTGGATGGGGGCGCTTTCCGGCCGGAAGGGGGCGCCGACATGCCGGATGGGGGCGCCCTTCGGGGCAAAGGGGGCGCCGACATGCCGGATGGGGGCGCCCTCCAGGGGTAGGGGGGCGCCAAATCGACGATTGGGGGGGCGCCGAAGGCGCCCCCGGCTTGCCCCCCCCTGGCAAAAAAACGTTCCGCCGCGCCTGTTCTGATCGTCTTCGACCATAAAACACCGTCGATTTCTTTTGTCAAGACAAATCTGAAACTAGTCAAAGTTTGATATTCAACTGTATCCTGAACCCACATACCCTCACCCGCACCCCCCTTGAACACGTAAACCATTCTACAAATCACTTAAATTTATACTCACCGGACACGCGTGAAACTTTGCAGGACGTATTCCGCAGCTGTAAAACTGATGTAAACACATTCGGGCTTACCTACACGTCATTCAATCACTTGCTACGAAGCCCCAAAGTATTGAGGTGGGTGCGGCAGACGCTCGTCTGGGAATGCATCTCTTGTATTACAAGACTATGTCGTGGAAGCGCGATTTTCCAAGAAAGGATCTTGTAACATGCCACATTTACAAGGAAACGCCTTGAAGTCGTCCGATGTTTCTTGAAATACAAGAAACTACCTGGTATTAAAAGAAACTTTTTTTACTGTGTACAGGTGAATATTAACCGTGAGGTAGAGGGTGGTCAAAATAATTTCCAAGTGACTGTAAAACAGAAATGAACATTAACCAAAGACGTCAAGGCAGTGGACAGGACGCAAATGTCGAAAACGACTCGTACACGGCGCGTGCTGCGCCCGCCACGACTCCGGTCAAGTCAGGTAAGTCCAGCGTGCATGTCAACTCGTGCATGCAAGCGTGCCACGACACGCCGCGCCCAGCACGTCACGCCCCAACACGAGGAGAGCCCGCCACGACTCGTATACGTGCGTGCCACGCACGCGCCGCGCCCCGGGCGGTACAAGGACGACACGGCGTGACTTCCGCGTGACGGTACCGCACGGGGACGGCCCGCAAAGTCTAGTGCGTGCGCGCTACGCCCGCCCCGACGCCACGGCGTGTTGCAGGCGGCACTGGCGCACGACTCGAGCCACAGGCGTGCCGCGACGACTCTGGACATCGTGTTGCGCACGACCCGAACCCTGGGCGTGCCGGGGGTAACATTGGCGTTGGTGCAGCGCATCACTCGTCCCAGAGGTGTGCCTCGTCCCAAACACTGTTAAAAGATTTCGTCATTTTACGATTAAATTTGCCTACGAACAGTTCGTATTTTGCATTTGACGAACAATGTCGTAAAATCCAGATTACGAACTGTTCGTAAGGAAAAAACGAACTGTTCGTTGGTACTTTAACCCCCAAATGCAATTCCTTTCCTTGTAAAACCGTTTGCAGCTGTACAAAATGACCAATGACAAGGCCAATTCACATATCCAGACAAGGCTACGAACTGTTCGTCATTTTACGAACTGTTCGTTTTTGTTGCAAATAACGAAAAGTTCGTGTTGGAAATTTAACAGGTGTTTTTTCGTAAAATTACGAAAAAATCCCCTACAGTGAAGGTGACTCTCGCCGGGCGTGCGGACGGGCCCAACGACAAGTGCGCTTGTTCCACGCACGCGGGCGGATCTGGGCCCCACCCGGGCTTTGTGCGGGCTTCGCGCGGGCCAGGCAGATCTCCAGGCCGACCCCCGCGGCCCAGGCCGCGCCCGCGCGTCGCCCGCGCACGGGCGCCCCGCCCGGGCAGCGCCCGCGTGTCGCCCGCGCTTGGGCATGAGCCCATAGTTCGCCTAGTTTAATCGCCCGCGGGCGCGTTGTTCATTACTCCAGCGACCAGGAAAGCCACCAAGGCCCCTTGTGCGTATGCTACCACCAGACAGGCGTGCGGTCGGGTTGCCTACCCAGACCCCTAGCCCTCCTCCTCTTTCGTATACGCTCACGGTGGGGTGGGGTGGGGAGCCCCGCTGCGGCTGCGGCAGCGACAGCCACAGTATACGGTTTACAGTTAACAGTTTACGGTTTTCGATATTGTACCGTGTTAATTTACCGTACTACCTCTAAACTATTTAACGATTTTTGAAGGAGTTTTAAGCTTTTTGAAGAAGTTTTAAACTTTTTGAAGAAATTTTAAGATGTATTAAGACTTTTTAACAAATCTCAAGTAGTTTTAAACTTTTTCAAAGACATTTAAAGACAAAAATAAACTTTTTAGAGAAATTTCAAACCTTATTGTGGCCGTCTTGGCACCGGGTCTGCCCCGGCTTTCCCCCGGATTTATATTCATTGGGGTACAATAGGGGTACAAATTTTTAAACAGATTTTTATTATTGTGTTAAGAAATAACGGTTTAAAACCGTTGTTAAATTGTGGTTTTTTCTTACAGTGTAGCATACGCACAAGGGGCCTTGGTGGCTTTCCTGGTCGCTGGAGTAATGAACAACGCGCCCGTGGGCGATTAAACTAGGCGAACTATGGAATCAGGGCGCCCGTGCGCGGGCTACACGCGGGCGCGGCCTGGGCCACGGGGGTCGGCCTGGAGATCTGCCTGGCCCGCGCGAAGCCCGCACAAAGCCCGGGTGGGGCCCAGATCCGCCCGCGTCAAGCACGCACGGGGCACGTGCGAAGCCCGCGCAATGCCCGTACATGTTCATGTTCATGTAAGGGTTATAGCGACGTACGGGGTACGTGTAATGCCCGCGTTCACCCAGATTCGCCCGGATTCTTTTTTACAGGGGTCGTTCTGCACTGATAAAATAAACCACAGTAAAAACCACAGAAAAACTCTGGTCAATTTCATACCCAGAGTTTCTGTACTTTCCCTGTGGTGTATTACAGAAAAAGTACAGAAAATTCTGTACTTTTTTGTGTTTTTCACAGAAAAAGTTCAGAGAAGTCTTTACTTTTCTAGACTTTTCTGTGGTTTTCAATGGATCTGCACAGAAAATTCTGTGCTCTTTCTGTGAAAACCACAGAAAGGTACAGACACTTCTGTACTTTTTCTGTGCTAAACCACAGAATTTTTTACAGTGCGTCTCTGTCCATTTTTACTCGTTCTTTACCACCCACCCATACCTCTTTGGTGGTAGTCTGAACGAGTATTGTCGGCGGTACGGTGTCACACTTTTTTTGACCCCACTTTCATCTCAGAGTACACAACACCTACAGATATGACATTAGTGCCATTCTTCAACGGAAGCACTGGTCTCGATACCAAGTATGAACTTTTTTTCACGTTTAATAGTAAAATTTCGAGCTCTCTTAACAAATTTTTCGCGTTTTCATTCTAAGTCACTGCCCACAGTTTACTTGGGCATGCTGGAAAACATAGTTCAAAACAACGGCAGTTTACCATAGGTACATGTCTGCAGTCATCAGCTATTAATGAAAAGGTTTTATTAAGATGTTTCTTATCACTTTCGTAGCATTTTTTAGAGTTTACTTAATGGTTTCATCAAAAAATTCATAAGTCCCGTGAAGGTGGATCGAAGAGGTTATGGTGTCGCCCCCGACCGTGCTGCCATCTCTGGGCGGACTAAGTAACTAGGGCGTGCGCGCGGAAACTCGCACTACTCAAAGACACACTATGTCGTTACTCTGAGATGAAAGGTTAAATTCTATTGACCTCAAAGATTATGGGTGATTTGCACTGTAAAAAATTCTGTGGTTTAGCACAGAAAAAGTACAGAAGTGTCTGTACCTTTCTGTGGTTTTCACAGAAAGAGCACAGACTTTTCTGTGCTGATCCAGTGAAAATCACAGAAAAGTCTAGAAAAGTAAAGACTTCTCTGAACTTTTTCTGTGAAAAACACAGAAAAGTACAGAATTTTCTGTATTTTTCCTGTGATACACCACAGGAAAAGTACAGAAGCTCTGGGTATGAAATTGACCAGAGTTTTTCTGTGGTTTTCTCTGTGCTTTCTTTTATCAGTGTGGTTAAAGAACGAGTTTCCACTTAGCACAAAATACATTTTGTGTTCATACTTTCTCTTTCTTTCTTTTCCTATTGTTTTTCTAATGCAGTGACCATCCTCTAAGATAGTAAATCAACAGAAGTCTTTCAGGTTTTGATGAAAAAAAAGATAAGTTCACAGTTTTTTTTCTGTTTGTGTACAGGTAAAACCCAGAAAAGAGAGATTGCTTCATGCAACAAAGGCGGTGAATGTGATGAATATGATGGCAGTTGCTTGAAAAAGAGAAAAGTACTGGAAAGGTATGGTTAAGGCCTTATATCACAGTTACCCCATGGATTTTAACATATTGTTCTTCATTCAATTTCGGAGAGAGAAGTTATGTCTTGAATTAATTTATATGAACTAGAAATGTTTTTGTATTCGTATGGCTATGGCTTATGTTGAAAGTTTTCTTTGGTTCAAGCCAAAATGATAAGTCATAAGTCCAAAGGTTAGTTCGCAAGTTTCGGAAAGTTTTTATCGCTCCCCTGCACTGTAAAAAAAAATCACGGTCGCCCATACGGAAAAATAATGTGGTTACGGAACCAGGAACGGAAAAGTTACTGCTAATTATTCTCCGCCGGCTTCCGTTTTCAGTACGGAGTCAGGTACGGCGTTCCGTACCTACTCCCTATACAAGCCCATATAAAATTGGCTGGTACGGTAGCTTGGTACGGTAAATCTCCGTACCCCTACAAATAGCACTCCAAAAAGGGGGGTACGGAGCACCGTAAAGGCTCCGTTACCCAGAGCTGATTTTTTACAGTGTGGCCTCCGGAATCATGCGAATCTTGGTAAATCATACACATCAAGCTAATCTTTGTAAATTCACCCAAATATATAAAGACGTCGTTTCCTTCTAAACCAAAATTTCCCGGGACTTTTTGATGGCATGAGTTAGTTTAAAAGGGACCCACCTAAACATGAAGTTCCCAATTTTTATGACAGTAAGTGATCCAACTTTGAAATTGAATGAACAACAAAATGTTAAAATGGGGTAAACTGTGATCTAAGGAAGTCCTTAAGGTTAAGGCGGGATCCTAGAGTCACTGGTAAAATAAATGTATAGTTTTATATACATCTTTTGATGTATAGTTGAATTATAAATGCCTAACTGTCTACCGGGTCAGCCCCGGCACAGCCCCGGCTCGCCCCCGGGTATCCGGCCTCGAATTCGCATAGGGGGTACCCTTCTCTGTTTTTTCGGCTGTGTGGGTACGCAGGCGCCATGATCGCTGCCTGCCCCGGCACCGGCACCCGCCCCGGCCTTATACATTTCATCAGTCTTCCCTCGGGTGCTTCCTTAGTGGCTACGGTCAGGCTCCCGGGTAACCCTCGGGTAGTCTCCCGGATTCTCCCGGGTACCTCCCGGGTACCTCCCGGGTACCTCCCGGGTACCTCCCTGGTACCTCCCGGGTAGGCCCCGGAATCAAATCCTGTCTGGGGAAGTCTTAAAATAACTTTTTCTGGTTCCGCACTGTAAAATGCTTGCAAAGTATATTCTTTGCAACCTTGCAAAGAATTTTGGGTCTTTGTATTGCAAAGACATTCTTTGCAAGTTGCGAAAATTTTGTAATTAAATACCTTTTTTAAAAATTCTGTTCATTCTAACTTTCATCAGTGGTGCTGATTCAGCTTTAATCTCAAATGAGCTTACCGAGGACAAGAAGGAAGTATTTGAGTTCCTCTCTCAATCTGACTTGGCAGAGTTACAAACAATGCCATGCTCTGTCAAAAAGGCAAAATTAATTCTAGAAAATCGACCATTTCGTGATTGGACGGATATGGTTGAGAAATTTCAAAGAAAAGGTGGACCTGGTGATGAAGTTCTAAAGTCTGCTCAGAAACTTGTGCAAACTAGAGAACTAGCTTCTGAACTTATAAAGCAGTGTAGAGAGCTTTCTAGTCAAATGGAAGCAGCCATAGCTGCTGGTCTCTCTAATGTCCAATCAAAACCAAGTATAATGTCAAATGAGTATGTATGTCTCATGAAGCATAACTTATTCTTAGTGCTCACTTTACAAATTCTTGTTCTTAAAATAATTTAATGTTTACAGATTAAAATTAGCTGATTACCAATTAGCTGGTCTAAACTGGCTACTTGCATTGGACACTGTTCAAGTTAATGGTATGCTGGCTGATGAGATGGGTCTGGGTAAAACATTGCAAATCATAGCATTTCTTTCTTATTTAAAAGAAAAACAAAAATCTGCTCTAGGGAAACCTCATCTCATTGTTGTCCCTGCTTCTACTTACGGTACAAACTTTTGTTGCATCATCTGTCAATTTTGGTGTGGCTCTGCTACAAACTTAAATATTTTTCCTACAGAAAATTGGCAAAATGAATTCAGTAAGTTTAGCCCCAATATAAAAGTGAGGTTATACTCCGGGGATAAAGTTCAGCGGAAACGTCTGAGACAGGAATGGTTTAACGATGGGTACGGTGACACAGAAGTGGTTCTTACTACGTAAGTATTTTCCCCAAAATTAAATTGTTTAAGCTTGTTACTGGCTTGAATTACATATTTTTTTCTAGCTATTCAACGGTAGCAACTTGCCCAGAGGGACGATCCATGTTTAGAACCCTGCCATTACACTATGCAGTATTTGATGAAGCTCACATGGTGAAGAATATGACCTCCCAAAGATATGGACATCTTATCAACATACATGTAAGTTTAAAAAATTCCGTGAGGGAACGGACCGTGCAATCAGATGTTCGTACTCTAAAAGTATAAAAGTACCCAAGTAGCAGAGCTGCATAAAATCCGCATTTTATGTCCCATCTAAAAAGCGCCTAAAATGCGTGTACGCGCCTAAAATGCGCATACATGCGCCTAATGCGCGTTTAAGATGGGACATATATTGCGGTTTCAATGCAGTTTGCTCGATTTTGCTACCTGGGTAGGACTGCGCACTGCTGCAACAGTACGACAAAAGTTCCTACTGTGGAAACAGTGGGACAGTCCTACTGTTGAAATAGTGAGACAATCCTACAGTTTAATTTTCAGAGTACAGCAAGAATGTAGTTATTTTCTATCATTTAAGTGGCAGTTATAGCGGAGCTAGTCAAGACGGCCGTTGGCAAAAAAGTTTAGTCATAGGAGATTGTGTTCTACGAAAGGTTTTTTTTACATTACAAAAGCTTTGGGGTTTTCGGGATAGAAAAATCGCTGAAAACTTTCCCGGGCAGATTTGAAAACCCCTATTTTTCCCTAGTTACTACGAATTCAGCACAAATTTCGAGAAGGTTCTCACGACTGGAAAAACGTTGATTTGGAAGGCCGACTTTCTGATCCTCAGAGCCAACTTCTGGCAAACCGTGGCTTAACAAAGCTGTATGCACTTTTAAAATCGGTTAAAATATTTTTCATTATTACACGAATGATTCGGGTACACTGTTAAACTAAGTGTTCAACTGTTCAACACTTGCAAGTGTTCAACTACTAGATAAACACTTGCAAGTGCTCGACACGACAGTTGAGCACTTGCAAGTGTTCAACCTGCCAGTTGTGCACTTCTAAGTGTTCAACCGGCCAGTTGTGCACTTGTAAGTGTTCAACAGGGAAGTGTTGGACGGCGCCGTCCAACACTTCCCTGTTGAACACTGCTCGGCCAAACGGAATTTTCCCGTATGGCCGACCGTGATTATCTTTTACAGTGCATAGCTGTCAATGACCTATTCCTTAATCCCTTGTGAGGCGGGCGTCCTGCAGCATGTTTGCGCATCCCGAAAGCAAGCCCACTGACAAAAATGTCCAAAAACACTTCCAGAAAAATGTGGAAAAATGTTGGGACCCTACAGACTGTCTATAATTATCTGTATTTTGTCTGTTCTTTGGCTTCTAATCGAGTATTAGTAACAGGAACTCCTATACAAAATAATTTATTGGAGCTTGTGTCCCTTTTGGCTTTTTTAATGCCTAAGATGTTTGAAGGAAAGCATGAGACACTTAAACTGCTGTTTGCTTCGGTGAGTATTACTTTTTCCAGTTTTATCATGTGCAAGTAGTTCCACTATTGCAGTTCCTTCGCATTTGATGTTTACAACAGAAAACGCAACGCAACGAAAATGATTCAGAAAGTACTTTATCAAAATTTGAGCGCACTCAAATATTTCTTTCAAAGGAGATCCTCAAACCATTTGTGCTTCGTCGCCTCAAGTCCGATGTACTGAAAGACATACCCCAGAAAACATGTGAAACAATTCAGTGTTTTATGACTGAGGATCAAGAAAAAAAATACAACGAACTCGCAGCAAAGTTTTCCAAAGAGGATAAAGATGTAAGTAATATTTATTAGGCAGGCATACTTTTTACTTCGTCTACAACAGAAAATGTATTTCGTGATACTGTCAACATCAATTTTTCAGGAGTGTGATGGTGATGACAGTGTGAAATCTGTTCGACAGACGGGAATGTACATGAAACTTCGAAGGCTGGCCAATCACCCTTTGCTTTTAAGATACCATTTTGAGGTAGCAACAAAGTCTTTCAAAATGCCAAATGCGTTTCTGTTGGCAAGTGTATGACCTCCTATTCTTTTCCTACAGGATAAAATTCTGGAAAAAATGGAAAAACTATTGCTGAATGATATGAAACCTTTGTATAGCTTCGAAGAGCTCTGTGTTATGTCGGATTTTGAATTACACAAAATTTGCTTAGAAAACAAGGTTTTCATAATTTTGTGTTACATTCCAGTTGCTTTTCTAAAACGAAATGTACAACTTTGTTAACGAGACACATTTCTGTTACAGACATGCGACAATTTGCGTCTTTCTCCAAGTTTCATTGGAGAATCAGGAAAATTCAGGCAAATTGAGAAACTGCTACCAAAACTTTTTGAGGAAGGACATAAAGTCCTTATGTTTTCCCAGTTTTTGATTGTTTTAGATATTCTAGAGGAGTTTTTGAAGCAAAAAATGTATAAATATCTCCGTTTTGATGGAACTACTTCAGTAGCCCTTAGGTACATAAACCTAAGAATCCTGTCTGCATGATATTTAGGGAAAC